GTGACAATTAGAATACTTACTAGTAAGCCTCCTCCAGCTTTAGTCACAGCCACAGGGTGGATGTGCTCCATATCCCAGAACTTTATGGAAAATTCATCTCCGACAACCAAGTACCGGCTCCTGGTGGTATCAAATTGTGCAATACTTGCAGAAGATTTAGCCAATCCTTGATAAATTCTTTTGACAATACCTTCATTTTCATTCCATTCAACAAGGATTGATGCCCCTTCTCTTGCTTTCCCACATGAGAACAGCCTACAATGGAAACAATGGCTTGCCACTTATCCATAAAATATATATAGAATAAAAAATTCTAAGGATGCTTCGGAGGCATCAATCCCTTAAGTAATCTTCTATAGTAATCATTTAATATTGTACAGTTATCTGATAACTTTACAACACAAAATGACTAATATACGAAGTTAAATACTGTTAGAAATGATGCCTCCCAGACACCAGAGTATGCCCGTAAAAACCTCTTCCCGTCAGCTGTATAAACCATTGCCGCAGTGGAGTGACCAGGTGCATCATAGTCAACTCTAGATCCCATATTGTCATATAACCATGCCTTTATTTTTCCATCCACTGAAGTTGAAAAGAAGAACTGAGGCATCAAATCACAAGTTAGATTAGTTTGAAAGAAAGAAATAGTCAACAAGATGGTAATATGGAAGAATAGACAATGATCTGGGGTGGACTCCTACATGAACATTTTCCTTCTGATGAGGACAGATAGAATGAACTGGAGCAGAATGACCTTCAAATGAAAAAGCTTTTGCACCAGTAGCCACATCCCATACCTATAGAAATGAGCAGAAAATGAGTTCATTATTCATATGATAATACGATGAAACGAAAGCTAACTTCGAATTTTAAACCTCTAACTTAGATACTAACCTTGATTGACTTGTCATCCCCACAGGTCATGAGAAAGAGTTGTCTGGTGGGAGTGCAGAAGGCGAGATCGTTTACAGCCCCAATATGGGAGTCAATCTTTGAAACATAAAGAAAACTATATGAGAAACAAAAACAAAGCACTTACTTTACATATATACAGCACATAAAGGAGAACCCACCTCTAAATGTGGCCTAATGTTCTTTCCCCCAGAATAGGTAAACAACTGCACCACATGTTCGGAAAATCCAACTCCTGTTTCCGGAAAGAGATTTGATTAACTGATAAGACAGTAGTAACTAAATCATGGCTGAATTCTGAATTTGCTGCTCGCAAATGTTTATCTCACCAAATATTGTGCCATCCGGACTCCACAAGACACGCTTAACTGAGACTCGCGGATCTCTGACCAAAAGTGCCTGAATTAAAGCAGGATCTATTTAGAACTTGAAGATATCTTGTTCAGAAAGATGTAAATAGAATTATCTTGCTTTGGATTTCTATTTAGATATAAGAAAAAACATACCTTCAATATCGTCGAGTGTTTCTCAATATCCCAAACCTGAAAACTTCTTGATACTACCTTCTCCTTTGTGCTAACTTCCCACAAGGCAAAGTCTCCCATTGCATCTCCAACTGGGAAGGTCATATAATAAAGAATAACACAAATCACAGCATACATCTTAACCTGCAATTCATTATTTATGGAGAGAAGGGCTAAGAAAAATCTAACCAAGAAGAAGAGTCTGTTTAGCAGGATGAAAGTGCAGACTTGTGGGAGTTGCTCCCTGATTCAATGTTCTTGCAACAGTCATAGGCAATTCATCGCTAAGATGAGATGTCGAGCCATTAGATGCCGAACCACGATCATTAACAGGATTAACCATCTGCAAAGAAATAAAATGTATGAAAATATATCAGATAAAAGGGCAGAAAGACAGGATAAGATCATTAAAGAGCTTATAAATTCACAAAACTTACCCGGTCTGAAGCTGGTGAGATTACCACCGGGGAATCACTTTCCAAATCCACAATCTCTCTTGGAGTTGTAGCTACATACAGGCAAAACAAATATATCAGAATGAAAACTGGCACATTCCTGTTTATGTCATCTATAGGATTAAATGGACATGACAATTTAGGATTGTAGCACCTGGAATCGAAGGACCGGGAAGGGCAATTCTTGGCCTGGAAACTATTGGAGGATGTGGAACTGGGAGATTAGAAACCCATGTCCTTATTGTCTCGAATGACTTGCGGTAGAAGAAAAGAAAAGGGAAAAAGAATGAATTAGAATTTTTCTTCGGAAACCGGAAATCAAGATAGTAGACCTAATTTACTAACTTGGTTACATACCCCAGTTGCACCAACTGGAATGTAACCTTCAGGTCTTGCTCCAGGAACTGCCAGCTGATTGGTTGGAGGAGTTAATTGCATACTTGGTTCAGCTGCATTTCTACAAACATGATCCACTAAGAGGGTTCTTATTTCAGGATTCTGCTTCGGATTTGCACAGAGCGAATGCTGCCAGTTCAAGCTGCCAAATTTATACAACAAATCATCAGTACAATATGATCACCAGGAAAAATATTAAGTACGAGAGTTGCATATCTGTCGATTAAATTATTTATGAATGAGATAGTTTTTTAAAAACACTAAGAACAACATTTCAAAGTCTTGTGATTTCATTTACCATATCAAGCCTAATAGGCTTCTTTAGGCTGAAGTGATAAGTCGAGGACAGAATCTCTTCACGATGAAATAGAAATTGAACTACTGATATTTGGACAGTACAGTTGTAACTTTATTACAATATGAAATAAGTCATTATGATCAATCACACAAAAGCTTAAGATGGTTAAAAAAGAATCCGTATACTATTTATGCATTAACGTCATTGTAATTGGCTACTCTAACTTTCGGCAAAGCTTAAGATGGTTAAAAAAGAATCCGTATACTATTTATGCATTAACGTCATTGTAATTGGCTACTCTAACTTTCGGCATATACTCTTATTTTTGACACAACTGGACACATTGCAGTGGCATAACAAACCCAATCAAAGCACAAGAGAAAAAGTATGCTCTTCATCGTTTATTGGTAGTATTTTACCTCTGATTAATCAACAGTCGCAGTCTTGAACCTCTCATAGCAGGAAACTGCAGCTTTTCGCGGAAAATGGGATTCGCTTCAACGAGCCTCTTGAGCTCAACCAACATCATTGTTCTAGCGGTTCTTGCATCTCTATAAGAAGAAAGCTGATCATTTTCTCTGCAAAAACCCACACGACTTTACCTTGTTTACAGTCGATATATAATTTATGAATAGTCAGTAAGTGATCCATCAATGGATGTGATTAGTTCATTTAAAATATTTGCCAAAAGAAAATTACAAAGGTAAAATCCAGTGCATACTAATTATGTTTGTAATGAGAATGGACTTTTTTCTGGATACCTGAAATTATCATATGTGAGAAGGTGAGTGATTTCCTTGTACAATTCCTCATTAAAGTTGGCAAAAACCTTCAAATCCTTCACCAGGATTTCCACTGCTCTAGGCGTCTCACGGCTAAACCAGTTCCGTGAATTTAAATTTAGTAAGGAGCAAAATTAAAATATATTTATGAAATTTAGAAAAATAAAAAACAAAAGAAAAGAAAAGCTTACTTATCCAATGCCTCCAGGTATTTTTGTTTTCGAATTTCGAAAAATAACTTCATGGAAAACCTGTTGTCATCCAACCTGGTGAATCCAGAGAGGTACTTCTCAAGCTCATCCCATTTCCCGCTAAGTACCATCTCCTCCAAGTGCTTCATGCTGAAAAACAGTCCTGACTCCTTTTCAAGACTGGTTCAGAAACAAATGGGTTTTAGTTGGAAATTCGAAATTAAAACAGAAAATAAAGAAATAATAAATATAATAATGAATGAAAAAATTATTATTAAATTACAAGTGAATGGTGTCTTTGAATTTCTCCTCGTCTAGGAACTGTAAGATCAGGAAGACAAGGTCTCGGCTCAGTGAATTCATTTTCAAGACGGAGCGACGACGTTTTTTGTTCACTAATCAAAAACGACAACAGCTGGTTTAGTAGTGTACGTATATGCAGCCATGAAAAAAGCAGAGCGAAAAGACAAACACAACACGATTCTGTTTCTCTCTTTAAACTTTTTGTTCTTTTCTTTCCCAAAAGAAAAGTAACGCTTTTCAAATAAATTTCAAACAGGAGTATTTCATGAAGATTCATCGGGGTGGTGGAGAAAAACATCAGATAAATTAATTACGGAGATAAATGAGAGAAGAACGTGTTAAATTTTTCTTCTTCTTTTTCTCTGTTTTCTTTTTCAGATTTTTTTTTTACTGACTCCTTTACGATGAAACAAACAAGGCTCTGTATCTAAATCATAGATCGAGTAGAGAGAAACAGAGACATGCAAAATCGATAAAATGAAAACGCCTGAAACGAATTTGTTCGTCGGTTAAATTGAAATCAAAAGATAACCAGAAGAAAAGGCTCATTGTACGCTAGATCACACACCAATGAGGTCAAACAATGGAGTTTAAGGGACATAGAACATTATAATATCGTTAATCCATAAAAACCAAGGACGGTAACAAGCAGAGCATGCGAAGAAAAATGAAAGAGAAAATGAAAATGAGGAAAACAGAGGATTTACCAGAAGAAAAGAGCGCTGTTTGTTTTCTGTATCCCTTTTCTCTCTCTCTCTCTCTCTCTCTCTCTCTCTGTGTAATAGTTTGAGTTCGAGTGACGGTAAGAGGAAGAAGAAGAAGAAGGTATAAATATGCTGAGGCGGCACCTTCGAGGTGATTTATAAGTAGGAGCGCTTATCAAAGAAAATGATAAGTAGTTCGGCGTTTATAACGCCCGCTACCAGACCCCGAAAAGAAAAACCTGAAAACGACAGCTGTCTCTATTTCGTCAAAAGCTGATATCGATGGCTGAGTCGGTTTTCTACTTTCCAAAATTAGCGAGTACGGACCAAGCGCTGACGGTGCTGCTTCTGTGGGGGGCATGTATGTGCCCTGAAAATCATATTAAGAAGATTAATCCTATCATACCTTCCCATTTAGAGTCTCTCTAAGCTACTTTTTATAGTTTTCGAAAATTTAAAAAATATTTTTTTTGCAGTTAAATCAACGATTCAGATAGTAAAATTTTAAACAAATTATTTTTGAACTCCCTCTTAAATTTGAACTTTTACATTTAAATTTATTTCTAAATTTTCTGGAAAATTTAAAATTTTTAAGAATGTTAAAAAAATGTGTCTTTATCAAATGCGATAAAATTTAATTTTAAAAAAATATAATAATATTTATTTTAAACAAAGTAAATTAATTTTTTTTTTCATCCCAAAAACAAGGATGCAACTTCCTATTGCTGTTTGTGGTTTTCTTTTTCTTTTTTTCCTTTGGACAATTGATATTTATCTATTAAAAGATAATTAAAAATTTTACCCATAAAAGAGAGGTTGTTGGAGTTTATCTTCTTTGTCCCATATTAGAAAAGAAATATATTATTATTGTTAGTTCAAACTGTAAATATTAGTATTTTAATAGTACGTAATAACTATCATAAAATATAACTATTATTTAATATTAATATTTGATAATTAAAAATTTAATAATCACATATTTGATAGATCACATTAATTAAATATTGAGTTAGAGATTTATATTATATGGTATAGTAAGGTTTAGCCAAAATTGATTTTTTCTTTTTGTGTTTTGAGTTTAGATTTTCTTGAGAAAG